CAGATCAAACTTTCAAGTGATATCTAACTTGCCTTTGTTCTGTTCTTTATTTCACTCCACTAGCATGTATTTCTGAAAATATTTTCCTAAGCCAACGCAAACCAAATGTTTCATACAGAAGTTGGTTATGCTACTTTAACTGTCCCCAGAAAAATCTCTTATGGATATAATCACAATGCGCAATAGGGGAATGCTCTAAGTGTGGGGGGGAAGCCCTATTTTTAATCAAATCACATTATTATCTATTATTTACCTTGGGTTCCAGTTGCAAGTATATTTGTTAGCTTGCCCTTCCTCAGAAAAACCAGCAGATAAAACTAAACTCTTCTTAATACTCTTCTTAATACTCTTTTTAATACTTTTCTGAGGATCAGTTTGACTAGAAGTTGTGTAAAAACAAGGGCTTGTCAGGTTGTCTGAAAGCCACATCCAGTCCATTTCAACTAATTTTCTGTTGATTTTTTGTTCAGGTTGATTTTTTTGTCTTAAAAGTTACAGCTTTCAAAAAGAAAAACAGATGTTGCTGTAAGTTACTGTTTTCTTCTGAAGAAGTGGTGGAATGACAGCTGTCACTCTTGTCACTACAAAATGACACTGTGACATGGCAAAAGAAAGATACTTGTGTTTTTTAAACATTTATTTACTTCTCTAATGAGCTGCTTTAGAAAGGTATAAGCAAGTGGCAATTTGAAACATGAGCAATGAAACAATGTGAAGACCAACTAGTGAAAGACTGTTTACATGATCTAGTGTCCAAGTTTGGGAACATTAAAGCTGAGAATATGCAGTACATACAGAAAACTTTGTAATAATGACAACTCAAAATAGCGTCCTGTACTTTGGAATGATTTTTAACCTCCATCACTCAAAAATGCTGGATACACTATGATATGACTAGGCATTGTAAATCTTTATAAAATTGTAGTCATAATAAATTGTAATACAGTATTAGATTGTTATACTAAAAGATATTTGTTCAGCACTTAGAACACACAAAATTGACGAGAAGTCCCACACAACCAACTAGCAAGGTGTGTTGCGCTAGCTGCTGCTCACAGCTAGAAGACATTTTAAGGTTGTGCATAATATTTTATCTTTTCCAACTGATCCAGGGGTCTACGTTCAGGGATTGTTCTTGGATGGAGCACGCTGGGACAGGCAGACTAAGAAGCTAGCAGAATCTCATCCAAAAGTTCTCTATGATACAGTCCCTGTGGTCAGTATCTTTTGTTTTGGTGACATTTTATAGTATTACATACCACCAAATACTATAGTCTTTAAGAAAGTAACGGGGTAATTATATAAAAAAAATTGAATTGAAATGTTTTATGTTGAAAGAGAAATTAAGTGTCTGAGAGAAGCTGAGAATCCTCTGCTAACAATGTCAGTGACAAAGTTTGGTGTTGCATATTTGGGAGAGAAAGCAATCTGATAAGAAAGAAGAAACAAGAAACAGGTCTTCAGTGCTATCTGTTAAAAAGCAAACAAAACAAAAAGCAGCAATGCCAGAATGCTCTGGTCAAGCCAAGACTGTTTGACTAGTTGTTTTTTTTAACTGAGATGAAAAGGTTTATTTATTTTAATCTTTACTGCAGATATGGCTAAAGCCGTGTAAGAGAGCTGACATTCCACAGCGACCAAGTTACCTGGCCCCAGTGTACAAGACCAGTGAGAGAAGAGGGGTCCTGTCAACTACAGGCCATTCCACCAACTTTGTCATCGCAGTAACAATTCCTTCAGACAAACCACAAGAACACTGGATCAGACGGGGGGTGGCGTTATTATGTCAGCTTAACTCATAAACCTATCACAGTTTATGGAGATAGGTACATTTTCCAGATCACTTAAGGGATGCGTGTCAGTTCTGAAACGCCACAAGAGGACTAAAAATGAGCATGTTTACTGTGTTGCATTTGTGCCTTTCATGAGATCTGAATCAAAACACTAAAATGTAAAGGTGCACAATAAAACCTTATAAAAGCCAACAAAAATATCTGCTCCTTGAATAATTTTATTTTCTGAAGGCTCCTTATTTATAAGGAACATACATAAAATGAACACAACACTGTTGACAATGAACAAAACAGCATTTGATCATTTCCAGCTTTATAAAATTTTAAAAAATGGTTTAGTTATAACAAAAAAGACTGATAGCTCAGCAAGTTACCTTATAGGACCATAATCACATTTTAAACCATAGACTCAATTGTTAATGGGAGGGGAAAATAAAAAAAAAAGAAGAAATCACACTGCATCTAGCAACTACAATATTTTCTAAGCATAATCACAGCGGATTGAGTGCAATGTGATCTACATCAAAATTCATACGGGATGTCACACAGTGACAGCATTGTAATATACAAGTAACATTTATGCCCTCCAACAAATACAAGTTAAATGAGACTCTGGATTCAAACAGAATGGAATGTTGAAGCCAAGTAGAAATGTAGTGGAATTCAGATTGTCTGTAACATGACTCCGAAGTGTACATTAGAATCATTTGGAATTCAATACTGGTGGAAACATATAGAAGAAGTCACAGCTGTTACACTGCTCTTCGTAACTTGTAATAAATACTAGAAAATAAAACGAAACAACCCATATTTAATGCAAAATACAGTACCTACCTTCAAGGACCATGTTTTTCCCTTGTCTGAAGATGGCCTTGGAAGGAAGTTAACTCTTTTCCTATAGAGGCAGTGTATTAAGCTATAACCATATTCCAACTAATACAAAAGTAAATATACTACCTGAAATATAGAAATTTTCATTTGAAAAGAATTAAAAGAAATAAACTTTAAAAAATGATTTGAGAAAACATCAGTTCAACCACATAATGACCGCCTTACACTCAATAGCATTAACAGAAAAGGAAAATTAAGGGTCAGTTTAATATGTAAGAAACATAGGTTGTTTAAACTTAGATCCTCAGAAGGTATCCAGTCAGTTAAGTCTCTTTGAAAATAGTATTCAGTGACATAACATGGGTACTAAGAAAAAATATCACCCAGGATCTTTACACTGCAGAAATTCAGTAATCTGAAGCTAACAGCAGTGTGTTCGCTAATTAACATCCAACAGTAAACGTGTTTAAAGAAAAACTAAAACCTGAGTTCAGAACATCTAATGGCTGCATGCCCGAACTCGGGGCTTTTGGCTTCTTCACTGAAGAAACTGTGCCCTTTTTTTTGAAATGGACCCTTAATACTGTTTCTAGATACTGCATTAGGAAGAAATACTGGCAAGAACAAACCGATATCTTAAAAATACATGAGCTGCTCTGAATAAAAACTAAATTGACCAATGAAGCTTCAAAAAGTAAAGGGCCACAGGAAACCACATTAACTTGAAATGGAATGAAGATACCAACTGGCTCTCATTAAAGGCCTTAGGATCAGTGTTTTTAGCAGCTACGCTGGCACCAAGCAGACTGAAACAGAACTTACGGCACATAGTCAAAATACAGCTTTTACCTGGCATACACAAGAAAGAAGACGAACTGTGTTTTAAAAAGGGCTACTACCATGCTTAGGACTGGTACTACAGAATCAACTTGCACTCATCACAAACACAATTTTTTAAGGAGATGGGTACAAGAAGAACTAACTCATGTCTGGCAATATAAGCGTATCAGCACAATCCAATCTAGGACAGCTGATCCCAGCAAGTTAAGGCCCAAATTTTCAGTCTATCCTTCCAAATTACACATACCAACAGATCTATCACATCTGCTTTTTAATAATCTAATTTAAATACCAAAATTGTAAAAAAATATCATAGAAATGAACTCCTTTATGTTGCAAGTAGAAATCTTCTTACGTACTCTCTACTGCCATAAATGGCTGGTGCTACAATGTCTGATATCAAGGCATTGTAGAAACAGATTTTGATCTGGTATTACAGTATTGTGAATAACCTACTAGTACTACATACACAGAGCATAATTTAACCGTTGTGCCCAGGTTCAGTAACTAGCATCTTGCACTTTGGATTGTTTTAACATGAAGAGGAGGAAACATTCCAAAACAACTGTTAAAAAAATGGAGAAGTTCCCATATGGATTCTCTGTTAAAAGAGTCTGCACAAATTCACAGCCACAATTCTTCAGTAGTTTATGTTGCAAGTGGCACACCATACATGTTTAGCATCTGTAAAAAAAGAACCAGAAACAGCTCAGCAACTCCCAACATCAGAGATCTCCCCAAGCTAACACTAATTCTACTGCATTTTGCATGTTCCTACTAGTATCAAAGAACAAACATCAAATAAATCTGAGACAGGAAAACATCATCAAACTGATGCTCAACAGGACATACCACTTTGCAGCATATATTGCAACAGCCTGCCTTCTTACACATGAAGTTTATAATGATGGAGTGCAGCTTAATGCAGATTCTAAGAATTTTAACAGGGTTTAGGCTTTGGGTTGCTTTTTAAAAATTTAAACCAGCACAGCGGTTTCCAGTCATGTGCTGTTGTAGCATTTAACGCTTCAAGCCACCACTGTGCAGAAGAATCAGCACAGAGTATCTATATATATGCACACACTGTACACACACACACACATATGTATGCACTATTTCAGACCTATGTAGCCTTAAAGCTTACTACAGCTCCTTGCAGAGGTATGAATTTCAGCTGTAAATTTTCTTTTTAAATATACTCAAGAAATGATATTTCCCAAATGAGTAGATAATTCACTGTACTTTTTCTTTGTTAAGCAAGCAGTGCCTCCTATATAGTACACTGAGCTTGGCATTTATTTTTCATATTTAGTATTTCCTAATTGTTGCTCACTTGAGTTTAGAAGATGTAGTGGTAATCTCATCTGATTTGATGAAAAAAAGCAGAAGTTAATCTACATAGAAATGAATATACTGTACTTGTGTAAATAGTGCAAACCACTACCCTTCCCCTGAGCAATGTGCTTACAGTGAAGCAGTGCAGATTCAAAGCCATACAGTAACGTTAGTATAACCACAGGGATTACCAGAATTAGGTCAAAACTGGATGTCAAGCACAATTTTATCTTCATAGAGGGCAATCACCAGCATGATGGCAAATCCAAGAAGCAGGCCTAGATTCTGAAGAATGAACTGCCCCACAGGACAATAACCGTGCTCTTCATTATCTCCATCTCCATGAAGCATTTCTGGAAGCTAAAAGGGAAAACCATTTATAAAGTTATTTCATCTCTATTCCATTTACACTTGGACAAGTTTACAAGATGATACTGTCAAGAATAAACACTCCAGGATTCAGTTACAAAAAACAGCTAAAACTGCCTAACAAATTACCAGAGCATCAAATCTGCTAAAAAACCAAGGATATTACCCATCTGGTCTTGTATTACTGTATTTCAAAAATATACATAAGGCTGACAATTTATTTGACCCACTGAATATTTAAATACAAAAAATATACTGGTGTGAAACCTGTTTATCACCTAAAGACTAGACCAGGCAGCTTAACAGCATGCACTACAGCAAATTACAAAGTGTTAAGTCATTAAGAATAAATGAAGTAATCACAGACTTTAAACTACTGAAGATTGCTACACAGTCCTCATGTTGACAGGCAAGATATGTCCCAGAATTATTTTCTTTTTAATAAACCAGAGCTGTATTCACCAAGTAATACAAAACCTACTCAGAGAATGGTGCTAGAATTGCCGCTGCTGCCAATTTCCACCTTCATGGTTTTTGAATGGCAGATCTGCATGTAATTCGAGTTTTGTAATCAACTTCTATGGAGAAATAATATTGTTGTTCCAAATCTAATGATGCTACTTCTCTAACAAGACCACTATCCTTACCATTAGAAAACAGGTAATTAAACAAATTTCAGGACAATAGGATGGAAAAAATACCAAAAGGTCCATTCTTTATGGGCAGGTGTAAGGAATGGATAGAAAACTGCACCTATGTTAAGCAAGGGTGGAAACAAAAAATCTGTTCTTATTAAGGCTCAGATAAGAAGAAAATAAGGTCTTTGAGAGGCAGGCAGATTATGGAAACATCAAGACAAAAATCTGGTGCAGTTTCAAGTGTGGCTTGCAGAACCCTTCCTGCTCTTGTTTAGTCAGAATATTAGGCTTTGACTATTTGGTGGCTACTATAATGACTGAGGAAAAGGACAAGGAGTAAAAGACTGAAAATACTGCTTTCCCTTATACATGATGTCTTCATTCAGAATATGTACAGGAAATAAGTATCAGTCACAGGACTTATAAGCAAGTGGTATTTCAGTAATTATAGGCTACTGTAGAACATCTGAAGTTGCATGAAGGATCACTCTCAACTACACAGACACTATTTAGCGAGACCTGAAAAGGACTTATTTACCCTATAATAGAGAGACTTCATCATCAGAGTATATTTACAAATTAAAGTTCTCCAGAACAAAGTGAAATATCCCGTGGTCTGATGGCCAGCGCTTGGTTTCCATGAGTCCTAGTTATAAAGGACCTGGCAAGCAGGACTGAATGAGATGAAGGTCACAGGAACAGCCTCTCCCACTGTGTCTTGCCTTGACCTGCGCTCAAGCCTCCATGTGATGACTACTAATGGGACTAACATGGGCTATGCAGAACAAAAGCTAAGTTTAAAAGAAAGTTCTCGGATGTGGAGAATGCCACCTAGAAGCAAGCTGGAAGCTCCACTGACTCCAAGTTTATTAAGCACCAATGCGGCAGTAGTGCTGAACACAGAACTAACTGCAGAGGTAAATCTGCTAGAGGGCAGAAAAGCCAAGACAACTTCTGCTCATATCAGGAAACTCCACAGAAACAGAACCCTTGCTTTCAGTGGTCTTCACAAATGCTTCAATGATACCACAGAGGCTGAGAAACCCCACTGAGGGGCTAGGAACTGGCAACTACTGGCCTCAGCAGCAAAGGGGAGAGGGATCTTCATAATGTCAGCTGCTTTAGTTGGCACCAGGAAATAATACAATCAGCCCACCCCACAGCAGACATCTGACAGCCTCACAGACAGTGATCTAAGAAAGGTGCGAAGCTGTTTCAATGAGAACTGCTAAAACCCAAAGTCTGTGCCTGTGGCTTAAAGTAACTGACAGATGCCTGCCTGCTTTGACAAGTCAGCCAGTGAGAGTCAAACGTCACACATTTCATTCCTGCACCAGTCAGTTCACTTTTGAGGAAGCTGCTAAAAAATGTGGTTTGAAAACAGGATAGTCAGCACAAATGTATGCAGAAGAGGAGAACTAGCAGTGTAGGCTAACAGATTATGGCAACAAAATCTCTAAAGGAAGTTGGATAGCTGAAGAAAATGCACAGTTTAAAATACTTAAGAACTGTAAAATTTTGCAAGTGAAAACTGAAAGAGGTGAGTAACCCCAACCCTCTACAGAAATGCTATGAGATTAAACAAAATCTCCACTGGAACATCACTTAATGCCAGAACTTCAGTTACACATAATTATTTTTCTATAAGCAGTAAGCAGCCATACCAAGTGATCCAAGTAGCAATCTACTGCTAGTAGGTAGATGGCTACTTAGTCTATTTTAGGAGAAAAATAACAACTATGAGAAAGCTTGCCTCTGCTTTAGATGTCTGTACTAGGAAATAGCAGTTTGTGAATGAAGCAATGGAAATCCAGGGAGCCACTCCACAAAAAGCTGTCTGATGCCTTGTGAATTAAAGTTTTAAACCAAGTTTGAGTTTCTAGTCTAATTGATTGATAATTTAATACAATATAAGATCTGTCTTTAAAATCCAGTGAAGTGATACACCTTTTTCTCTGTATGTTGAAGCAGAAAGAGCATTACAGAATACCCTAAAAATGAAAACTCATCTCATCATCACTTGAAGTGAGAAAACTGGCTCATTTATACACAGCTCTAAAGCTGCTTAGGAAAGAAATCAGGATTGAATATGGACTGATACTATGTTCAACAAGATCTGCCTGAAGGATCTGGATCTATGGCATACACACACTAAACAGAACATACCTATAGTTTAATCCTTGAAGCAGCAGCATTTTTCCACCAGATGCTTTTTTAAAAGCTAATCACCTCAAGAGCTATGTACATGCTGAGGGTTCAGACTAAGCTTTCCAGAATCCAATATATGCAGATTACATTTGAGAGAAGAACAATTCTAAATACTGGATTGAACTCCAGTGTCTAATGTCCCATCCACAAAACCAAAGAATCATCCTAATTTTATTAGTGGGAAGTTATTTTTATTAGTTTATTTTAACAGGAGTCACTGGCAGACTTCGGTAACAGAAACCCAAGCAGGCACGCTACTATGAAACCTCACTGCATCTCTCAAAGTATCTGCAACATTTTAAAAAGTTGTAGAACAGAAAGAGCCATCTACTGTCTACAGATATTTTATGTGTTACAACAAAGAAAGTTCTGTTGCAGGTGCCGTTTCATGTCCTAGGTTTTATGCACAGAAAATGACACAGAATCGTAACAATCTTACCATGTCAACCAGTGCCACATAGAGGAACATGCCTGCAGTGACTGCAAAAATCCACAAGGTGATGTTGTTAGCATACTGTCCCACCGCTGTGCCTATCAGCATCCCTATGTAAGCCATCATGGCAGACAGGAGGTTGTACACAATCGCTTGCTTTACTGTCATACCTGCTTTAAGAAGCACAGCAAAGTCACCTAAAATGGAGACAGAACACAGCGGTTTAGTATCAATGCTCCTCGGGAGAGTAAGTAGATAAATTAGCCCTCATTTACTATCTTACCAATCTGAGACATTCCCAAAGTAAAAATGCTGCTACAGAGGCTCAACTGAAGCCTAGGCAACATGATATGACAACTCTTACAAGAACTGTGTTTATGTGCAGCAGTGCCTTAATTTGAATATGATTTAAAGGTGGCTATTCAACATGCTGATTGTCAAAAAGAGTGATTGATGGTTAAAGGTAAATGGAGAAGTCTTGATCTGGTCCTCACACAGAGAATACATCTGTGCATACAGAATTGTCTTTTTACATCACAGATGCTCTTCATGGGACATAAAAACAGAGCCTTAGTTTTGACCAATACCCGTGAAAATTCCTCTTAGCTATATACACCTCATCCTACAAATGCAAGAAGAATATAGCAAGGTATTAGTCCCCACAGAAGGTGACGATGAATTTGAGAAATAACAGCACTGGGAAAAGGAAGAGTTACATTCAGGAAAAATGTCTTCACATCTACGCTGAATCAGACTGCGTGTCAGGTTAACCTGTTTTATGTTGAATTCAAGACAGCTCTGCTAAAATTGCTGATAAAGGTAGACATTCTATGAAGATCTAAATTTTCATCTTGTAATTGGCTCTGGTAGTTTTACTCCCTTCAAACTAAACTCTTGTGAATATGAGGAGTGGAAGATGATACGCAGTCGTGAGGGTAATAAATATAATGTCACATTAGATCTGCTCAAAATTAATTGCTCAGTCTAGAATCAAAACTTAAGAGTCAAAATAAAAAGTATGTACAGTGAACTACTCACTTTATACATTAATTTAATCATGTCAACCTAGCAAGTGATAAGTACACCAACACATATTGCAATCCTTTATATACCGCAGGCAGCTTCACTTAACTAACAATTGCATAGCAGTGTTGTCAAACCACAAACATCTGTTCTATTATTTCGCAACTGTGCCCATTACTTATTACTAACCTAGTACTTAGTATCTGCCTATATAAAATGTTTTCATTCCTCATCTCTAAGGGTTTTTGGAGTACTTGTTTTACATTACTTTTGATCATTCAGAGGTAGCAGCTCATCAAGTAAGCAAGCTGTGAGTACATATGCAACTTAATCTAGCAGAATTTCACATTACTGGCAAAAAATCCTGACTCATCTCTCTAGCTGCTATTTTGCGAGTCTCATGGTGCACTAAAATTTCATGTGATGTGCCTTGTGGCTCACGGGAAAAAACAGGTTTCATCACGGTTACCTAACCCAAGAAGAAATGCAGCTAGGGAGGGCACTGGCAGTAACGCCTACAGGCTTTAGCCTAAGTAGTCATCCACACCTACTGGACTTGGCAACAAGTGGTACAAAGCATCTTCTGAAGTTCTCCACAAAGAATTTTACTTACTTAAACTTGCACTTATAAAAGCTGACTTAACATGTGCAAGACAATGCCAAAGAGTATAAAACTCTCTATAAAATGCAGAAGTATAACACCAAAATGTAAACTGTATGCTCTTTAAGAACATTTTTAAAGCGCGTTCAAAAAGCTTCATGGACCTTCTGTTACTAGATACCTGCCCAAATAACCCTGTATTAATATTCTCATTATGTACTTAGAAGCAGTATTCCTCCATTAGTCTCTGAAGTTGTGGTCAGGCTTGCAGCACCTGCATTGCAGTGCTTATCAGGATGAGTATCACAACAGCTTTTAGATAAATATTTTGTACCGATGAAGAGACTGAACATGTTGAGTTTATAGAATTAGTTACCTAATTCATGGGGAAGCTCATGACAAAATACTGCTATAGATGTACTGATGCCTCCTGTCAGTCCAGCACTAAAAGCTGCTCCTAGAAAAAAATAAATACAAATGATATTTTGCTATTTTCAAGTCAGAAAACTTAATCAACAGACTTTCCAGAGATGACACCCTTCTGTTGGATTGCACGCTTTAAGATTTTTTTCATTATGTCCATGTGCTGTCTCTATATAACCTGAAAATACTGGAAGTATCCTGGACGTGTGTGACCACTGCATACTTTATTACTTAGTTTATCTGAAGGACAAATCCTGGGAGAGGAGAACACAACTGAGCAAAACAGAGACATAAAGGCTACAAGCTAATCAATAGCACCACTTTTATATTTTTACGAACTCTCAAGTACACCAGGACAGGTAAGAATGCATTTGAGCAACAGTCTGCTCTCTCCTTTCCAGGTTGGAAATCTCAACTAATATTTAACCCACAACCTCTCTATTTCCTTTATGCTTATTTGTAGAGCACAGCAACATTATCAGTAACATTAATGAGCCAGACCTGGAAAATAATGAGAAAAACATCGACATAAACCTCTTTCAGTAACTTCTGTGTAAGCTAATTTAATTCAATCAACTTTAAATTCATACCTTAAATAAGTCTGAGATGAGAAAACTGGTATTAAATTTCTGTGCTGTGGCAGAGAAAGGCACAAGAAGAGCCTGCAGTAAGCAGTCAAAACAGTCAAAGTAGAAAGAGAAGACACAATCTGAAGACAGAGAGGAAATTTAACCATCCTCTGGGTTCCTCATAACTTGATATATTAAAAAGATGAACACACTGTTTTAAGATCTACATTTACTAAAGAATCAGCTGTTTAGGCTTGACACACAAATATTTAGAAATGGAGTTTAAATATAGTAAAGTTCCCAACAGATGGCGTAGTGATCCTTTTTGGCCCTAGAAGCCAGTGTCTAAAAGCCTTACCTGCTTAATGTGAAAATGTAGCCAAAAGTTAATTTTTATGGAGTTTAGTTTCTTTAGAAACGGTTTGGAAAAAGTGGAGAAACTGTGGTAGTTCGCACTGTTAAGTCCAGATGCTAATAAGTAGCTTGTCCCCTATCCCTCAAGATGGTGATGTTCCATCTGCTAGTATTTCAGAACCCTGTGTACTCTCAGTAGCTACCTTGGTAAAAAATTTTAAGTACGCACTTCTCTGACCATCATTTTGACTTGTGTGACATATATTCAAATCAATGTGTTTTTACAGTTCAAATGATATTTAGAGGTTTATGTGAATCAAAGTTGATTTAATAAATCTAATAAAATCTGTTTGGTACATCACTTTCTCCTACATTTGGCTAGAAATAAATCTACTGACCATAAGCCAAAACAATACTTCGCTCAAACAAAAATTAAAATACTGTAAGTAGTACTTTTTGAAACATTATTTCAGTAATCTGACTCATAGTGCATTTATTATTTACAAGTACTATATAATTCCATGTATTAATAATAATAAAATTAGTATTATTATTATAAGTAAGACTGAAAGGCATTTATTTACTATTCAAAGGCAAATACTAGGACCCAAACAACAAATGTGTATTATATGCGTGCCATAACTGATAAGGTTTGGCAGTACCTATTGTTATTTGGCAGAGATCGCTACTGTAGCTACTACCAACACAGTAATCTTGGTGGAAATAGTCACAGAATATTATCAAGGAGACTGTTACAAGTGATGGCCTTTTAATTTCCGCTCTGAAAGAGATTAAACACTGCCAATAACCACAGGAGCTAACTGGATGCCTTACCTGTTATCAATGACAAGTAAAATATTATTGAAGTTACTAAAGGTAAGAAGAAACTGTTGAGAATACTCAGTGCTTTTGCTTACCGATTGCTAAGCCATCACTAAAGTTGTGAATGCCATCTCCCATAATTACCATCCAAGCAATATTAGCTATCCCAGTATCTTTCAGGTCTTTTCCAGAATGACAGTGGCCATGGGAATGATGGGAATGTTTGTGATGCCAGTGGTGACTGTGTTTTCTAGCTATCATTTTATCTTCGCCATGGCTGTCATACTCTGAATCGTGAAGATCATGCTCTTGAGCAGCATGTGAGACATCATTGTGAGAATGGTGCATATTGTTGTCCTCTTCTACAGACAAGAAGTTTTTGGGAGGGGATTCCAGCTGGCCATCTAAATCAGTCAGTTCAGTTTCATTGAGTCGATCTTCAGATAAAACTGAGTCGTCTGCTCCTATACCAAAGCCAGTTGGGAGAGAGACTGCATTAATTCTTATTTAAAATATCACTAGCAACAACTGCATCATTGAACTAAGAATTTAACTGCTTTGCAAAAGCAAAAGAGGTATTTTAACACATCCCAATCTAGCAACTGTGTTGTCAATGCTCAGCCAAAAAAATAAATTTCTCACTGCCCCATTTTATCACTAATTTGCTTGTAGAGCATATCTAAGTCTCTCCTACAAGGCAATGACACTGTACCCACAGCACACAAAGCCAGTTTTAGCCCGACCTAGGCTTGTATCTGTTGTTTTGCTATTGATGAAGTTTATGGCTCAGCAACTGAAAAAGGGCTGTTGCTGGAACAATAATAATGTCTTATAAAGTGTGGATGGAATCTGAGTAGCTAAGGAAACCTTAACTCTCTCTAATCTCTATGCATGCCCACAAGGTCACAACTTGGCCTTCACTGAAGCGTACCAGGATCTGCCACTGCTACAACAGATCCTTAAACAGCTTCTGGCTTGTGTGCATCTTTGGGCCGGACACTTGAGCTCCTTCAATGTAGCTCATTACCCTGTCAGCAATCAAAGTATTTTTATAAAGAAATACAAAGTTAAAACAATGCAGAAGGCATACATGCATGCATTTTAAGCCTACTAATATTTCTTAAGTATTAATAAATATATACAACTGGCAATATATGCTCCAGGAAACAAAACCAATAAAGCAGTGGGGGAAAAAAGCAGTTCTGGACAATAAAGTTATTAGCTCACAATAACTCAACAAAAATACTTCAGAGTCAAAAATAAGCAAACGGTAAGCAGAATTAAAAAAACAGGCACAGAGCACCTAAGCAGCAGACAAAGAGCAGACAGAGAGGCTCTTCAACATCTTTTGGAGGCTGTTTAAAAAGAAATGGAATGGCTGTTCAGGTCAGTGGTATTGGCACTGCAGTTCAAATTCAAATTCAGCATGGGCTTCCAGTGCCTGCAGTATGAAGGATTGACTGATCAGTGGAGTGCACTTTCAGATCAATAGTGTTATAAAAGCAGTATGTACTCCATGTCATTAGAAGCAAAATTCCTCTGATCACCCGTTAAAAGAAAATGAAGAATTTTCAAACATATGTACCACCATCCTCCTCACAGCTGAAAGTTTTTCTACGTCAATGTCCCAAATCCCATTTTAAGTTGTTTGAGTGGAAGAGGCTACAGTCCTAACTCTCCCTTCTACAAACCGTTCAAATTAACAAAAATGCATTTGTATAAATATAGCCTATGGATTCTTCATCAACAAATTAATTCAGCAGCCACGTAGGCAATGGAAAGGGAAGTTTATGAAGCAAAACCCTTCCCTTACCCCTTCAAGAAGGGTGATAGAGCATTCAGATTATCATGAAGGAACAGTATGTGAAAGTTGTTTTGGATACTTCAGGAATATTCAGGATACTTGGTTGTACTTATAAAAAGAAATTAATTCTGTTTAGCCTTCTCAGCCGAACTACAATTGGTTAGAGGCTGGAATCTTCAAAGCATACCAGATATCCCCCTTTCAGGTTGTGTGTATTAATTTTTGATCTGATTTTTTGCCAGAGCTAAGCTAGTCAAACACAGCTTAACCAAAAAACACCCCTAAAACAAATGAATAAAAAACCCCCCAAAGAACCAAAGCCACCCAAAACCTGACTGCTTCAGAAGTCTGAGAACCATTTGTATGGCATACTAGGAAGTGTTCAGAGTGCTCTCAGATCTAAGGAAAACAAATTAAAGAAAGACTTAATAGGGAAAGCTTATTAAGTCTTATTAACAATGATTTGCATAATAGCAGCAAAACTGTACAAGAGGTTACATGCTACGTGCCATAGGTTACATGCCATTATGTGAATCCTGTAATCAGAGAAAATTCTGAAAATAAATGCCTACCTGCAAGGGGTTTGAGCTGAAGCCAGTCAGCATCTGGTCTACTATTTAATTTGTGATCTGAAAGTTTCCTTCCAATTGGAGATTCTTCAGTTTGTTTTTTCTTGCACCATTTCTGCTTACTCTGCAACAGGAAACAGGTAACATCTGGTTTGTAAAGGGACATGAACAGAAATGTTGTAAAAAATACCTTAGAAATAGACTGTTAACTCCCTCTTAAATAATTCTGAAGTATGATACTACAGAATATTAATCTTTGTAAGGCTTTGTTTTGTAAGCAATGATACCAATCCTAGTGGAAATTAGCTACCTACCACAGAATCTCTCACACACAGACAGACAAAATTTCACTCCAGTGACAGAGTACATTATGACAAGGATTGCTCTAACAGCCCAGAAACACGTTGTGTACAGAGGAGTTACATTTGCTTATTTTCTTCAAGAAAGCAAGCATGCAGCAAGAACAGCTCCTCTCTTCTGTTCAAGTTTTATACTCCTATAACTTCCTTGTATGTTCCGCTAGAGAAAAGCTTGCTACTTTCCTATCTGCAGCCCATAGAACAGAGATCACAGATTTGCCAAAGCAGCCTAGGGGATTTAATTATTTAATTAATCTCAAAGAAAAGATGCTCAATGTGACAGCTTTTATCTCTTAAGATCTAAGAAATGCCTCCTTCAACACAGAAAATCTTTTGCTGCCTGTCCAGCTGAGGCAGCAAGTCTGATGTGAAAACAGAGAACGTTAAATTTTTCTGCATCCATTTTGGGAGAAGCAATTATAGTTTCACCAAAATAATTTTCTCCTCAAAGTCGAATGATGGAGGCAAAAGTTTAAAGTGTATTTATAATGACTGTTAAAAGAATATGGCTCTGGTGGCTTGAATTTCTACCCCCAGTCACACTCCCCCTTAGGTACTCGCTCTCCTTTGATACCACGGTCAAGAATACAGCATGCTCCTAGCCCTAAAAATCCAATCATTTTCAGGGAAACAAGTCAAAATTTGGCTGGCAATTTATAGGAAGCAGGAGGTTTACAAATTTTGGCATTTTTTTCATTTGGAAAAACTGAATACATCTGTTAAACTGGCACCATTGGCTGATAGTATAGAGTTAAATTTCTTGTAAATTGTCTGACAATTGTCTGGCTCTATTACCAGTTCTTGCTTACACACTGCCCTTCATAGTCTAGCAAAAAGATCACTTTTCAGATTTAGATGCTTTAGAGAAAGAGCTGTAAGCTCTTTTACTTAGATCTACTTCCAAATATATCTGCAGCCTCCCCCATCAGATTTCTACTTCGTCTTCCCAAATGATCTTGTTAAGAAAAGCAACCTGTTTTAGAAAAGGGTTTCCTCACACACAATCAAACAGAACACAGATTAGCAGCACTTGCTCACTTAGAATCATCACACAGACAATTCCCCAATGCTCAGAAGGTAACTTCAAGTAATATATTTGAAAATACCATGCAATTTTAGCGTGTACCTTTTGTTTATTGTAATGCTTGTACATTCTTATACAATGTTCAATGATGAACAAAACATAAATGCCTCCAAGTGCCACAAGACCCTTCAGCACTGGGTCATTTTCTTCTAGAAAGCCTTCAGTCCGTACTCCATGTCCGTGGGCATGTCGATGAGAACGCTTGTGTTCATGGACATGACCATGGCCATGGTGGTGACTGTGGTTGTGGCCTCCATGTGACTGTTCGGAGAGAAAAATAATAACACAGCATGACCTGGTGCAATCAGGAGACTGAAACGGCTCTGAGCTCAGGTAACAGAATATGCAACCCTGCTAGAAAAGTAGCATAAGAAGACTTTAAAAATTAGGTTGTGGCTTGATATTTTTTAATACAAACACATTTTACCATAGAAATTTTTCATTAGACTATTCATTACTCTTATAAATAAAAAAATACTCTTCTGGGAAATTTTCAGAGGTGGAGAGAGTGGGAGATAGTCAAACTTCAACTTTTTTCTGTCACAATGCTGAAGATAATGAGACTAACACTGAGAAATGTCGCAACGAATTACCATGCCTACACTCCCATTAGCAACCAAACCTCATGCGTTTAACCATTACAGTCAAGTACAGCCTTAATTCTGTTCTGAAACATAAACTTGCAAAAAAAACCCAAGCCCCCCATGACCAAAAATCTATTAAAATTTACACAAAAAAATACGTAAACATTAGTCTTTTTGCTAAAAGAATTAAGGTAACAAAATTTTAGAAAACACTACTCCTAAAAATTACAGTATACCTTCACAAATTAAAAACTGCTTACCTTCCCAGGAACTTGAACGATTTCTTGATTCAGTAAGTTAGAGGGTACTTTCTCCTCTAAAGCTAGTAACCAGGAAGGTTAATCTCCCTCAAATACGTTTAGGTGGTACTGATACACAAGCATCATTAGACAAGATATAGTGATACTGCTAAATTTAAAATACTATTGTTAGTTTCATTATGAGTTTTAAAATACTGTGACAGAAGCTAAACTATGAATACACAACTACTTTTTTCTTTTCCTTTTTTTTTAACCTTTATGAAACACACATTTCCTTTCTTTTTGTTAACAGAAAGTCTCAAACACTGTTTCAGGATGTCCCTCATAGTCAAGTCAATCTACATCCGCATCAATGAACATTTATTTGTTGACACTTGTCAAACAATTCTTTGAAAATTCTATACACAGTCACAGTTAAGAATAAGAGGTAAGGAAACAATACTCACATGCGGCAAAAGATGGAGTAGTGCATCTCCACTCATTGTTCCTACAGCCAGAGCTACCAAGAAAGTTAGAAGAAATTTGAAGCACCATTGGTTAATGATGGGGACCAAGATCACACCTAGCAAGGAAAGCAGGCTAATGACGGTGATAGAGATGATACCACAAAACCAGGCTGTGGGAAGAAATGAATACAGAAAGGTTATCAGAACAATACTTGTACAACTTTTAAGAGTGATTAACGACTTTCAACTATCTCTTATAAGAAGGTGACTTTCCTTTAGCCTAAGTTGTGTGACCGTTCATTCAAAAAGGTGCTGAACAATATGAAGGCAGTACTGAGGTTCACAGCAAAAAATACAGATGCTTATTGACAGTACAACATTTTTAAATTGCTACCAATCACTGTAACTTAGATCATGTAATCCTGAAACTTTTGTGTATAAATATGCCAAGAAGAGTGCCAGTAGTTGTGTGCAGGATTTGGAATATTTTCCCCTCGCAACCAATGTTGAATAAAGAATGCCTGCTTCTTAATGCCTCATTGGTGTTAAGAGGTTTTTCTATTCCTGATTTCAGTAAAAAATGTGAGCTTTTTATAATCCTGATTTAAAATACTTAGCATCTCCATACTACAGTGCATGGTCTGACTTTGCTTACATCTATGAGGGTCCACTAATTTTCGATGAAGTGGGGGAATACATCCTGGGAAACGAAGGAGTTGGGGGGAAGAGGAAAAGAGAGGAGGAATGAGTATGTTGTAGCTGCACAGTGAATTTTATAATTTAGCAGTCAAATGTCCCAAGAATTCTAGCTGTACCAAAAATTCCATCTGTACCCAGAAAGCTACAGATCAGACCAGACTTTGCCACTAGAACTGTGGTTGTTGCAGGCCTGGTCTGGTTCAACACCAAAACTTACAACAACTGCTGTTTTAAAGTTTATCTTGGGATTATTTTTCACAACAGCACAGAAAAGGAAACAGCTCAATTCAAATGCAAAGGATACAAGAGCACATCCACCAGGAGAAACTGACTGACTGGAAAAAGCTTTAGAAAGTATGCAGCGTACACTGAAATGCATAGCAATACCGAGAGGAAAACAGAGAGTTGGTGAAAAGGCAAAGACTGCCATTAGAAGAGGAACTAAAAACAGAGGCTGGAAAGCGGGACTACAAAAGTAGGTCTAGAGTGGAAGCAGGACCTTGCCAACCGACACACTGCTACTGCACGGCGTTGATTCATCCCCAGAGCACTTCAATCATGTACTCTGGATTAACGACCTCTGCTGAAAGAACCAGCTTAGATGGACTTGTAATTCAATACTGAATCATGCATGCATGCACAAGTAGCCCAAATAAAAATTACACAGTCATTTGGTATGACATTGGAACTCCGATCTGGACACAGACGTTATGATGTGAAGTGCCAGGTTAAATGACCAACAGCCTCACATGGAGAAAAATGGAAAGGACACCATGCAAACTGGCTTAAGTCTCCTATATCATAGCACAGATTTGGCAAACATACTGTTATGAATGATACAGTATCCAAGCATGGCACCGTGATTAAGATATGGCACATGAGAATTAGAATACAGAATCTGTGCGTCTCTTAGATCTTGGTTCTCTGCTTCCATCTCTGTTAAACTCTTAAAAGATGGTATGGAAACAAAATTATCAGCAAAATGTTGCTGTCAAGCCAAAGATAAAAAATACATACAAAAGCTGTGCATGACCTCACAGTTACATGTATGTACAAACACTCCTATAAAAAGGACTACTAAGGAAGAAACTCCGGCACAAAATTTTATTGAAGGATTTCATTCAACTGTAGTGTTCAAAACACTAAAATACTATGAAAGTTGAACTAATATGCAGTATTATGAACACTGCAAGAGCTCTTAAGAGCTCTATAAAAGATCTTGGTGCATTAACACTCCTAGGAATACTGTATAAGGCCTGGTCAATGAGGTGAAGTTATTATGCACTCGCTTATAGAATATTTCTGTGGAAACAAAAAAAAGAAGAGGGAGGTGACTGAACAATTTCTTCAGTAAGGATCCTCTGTTCAAACAGCAGGTAGCAAACAAAAGACTGCTACACACCAGATTTTGGACAGCTATCTGTAAGTTAAAACAGACTAAAAGGGTAACAAGGTAGATGCTTGTAAGGCTGAGAACAGTTAGCTCTCTGCAAGCTTTAACAAGCAAGCAAGCTAACAGGCTCCACTGAAGCAAAGCCTTTCTGGGCTCAGCAAATGGTAAGCTCCAGGGAACACTGACACCTGCACAGGCAGAGTTACAAGACATATCTGATCTGTAACACTTTTAATCAACAGCTCTAACTGATCTCCATCTTTCAAAAAATTGCTTACTATTTACTTGTTTCACTTCTGTTAGCTTGATTCATGCTAGGGTGTACCTTTCCTTTTAAGTTAAGTAGTTCAGGAGCTCTCAATGGTAACAAGGTCACCTCTTCCAACAGGTACAGTGTGAAAGCTCAGTTGTATATATAAGCCCTTGAAAATCCTCTATTAGAAAATGTCACAGAACTATCTGTAAATTACAGGAAGAAAATCCAATACGGCCTCCTAAGTTTTTGGCCATCAGTTAATTAAATCACTTTGCTTCAGAAAACTGCACTATCAGAACTAATGGAAACCTTACAGGTTTGTATCAATGAACAGAAGCAGCACTGGCCTATTAATTTTTTTGAAAGCTTTAATTAAATCTAAAGACAATCACAAAAATCTAGTGTTCACAAATGTCTGCATCTTCCTAACTCTGGGCAAGTATTGCTATCTAAAAATGTTTACATTAGCTTGGGTAAGCAGACATTTTCATTTTAGTGGATTCCTACAACCTGCAGGTTAAGTTGCTCTATGACTGACATTGGGCGTACACCTCCCACAGTTCCCACACACCAGATAAGAATTGCTATTTGGTGATTCACTTCCTTACTCACAAAGCGAAAATGATTACTACATCAACCCAAGTCTAACTGTAGCTAATACAACAGTATACAGGAAACTGTTGTGAAGAATGATTTATCATTATCTAATCAAGTTGACCTGTTTTAGAGGTTACTGTTTGCTTTCTGAGTCAAATCAGTAAGGTAAAAACCAATTTTTTACAATTAACCAGCAAATACATTATTTATACTCAAGATAGTAGATGCTATAAGACATGTTAAATGTTCACAATAAGCTTCACTAATTTTGCAAATTCTCTTAAAATATTAAAGGTCTTCAAGCTGAGTTATTAATCAACTCCTTTACTTATTACAGAGAAATAAAATGCATTCTTTTAAAAAGAAGCACTCATCTGTAGAAACTTTCTAATTAAAGTGGTCCAAAGCACGTGCAACATGACAGTTCTGTACGTGGTTCCAACATTTTAATTGGCAGAAAATGCTTAGAGCTACTCTACAAATCCTCTTGGGAATAAGGCAGGGGTCAACTCTTACTACAATAAGACCTTCCCACAAAACAGTATGCTGCCATGTAAAACACAATCTATTCGGTTTGCAGCAGTCTTTGAACAGTTAACAAGATAGCAGCTGTGTCACTACAGAAGATTTATTTATAACTAGTTAATTATTTTAATGACTGCAGCGTTGTTAAGAAAGATTACCAGCAATGCATTCTTTCCAGCAATTAACATCTATCAGAATGTAGTTACTTCGAGCTTTATTTCTAATGATGTTAATAAACACCTATGTACTAATCAATATTCAGAATTACCAATACTTTTCTTTTCAAAACATTGTACCCAAGATTTTTAGGTTTTTCATGTTTCACTACAGCTAAGCATCTGTCAACAGTTCCATTATATTTATGAGAGACAGCAGCAGTAAACATACATTTTAGAAGTATACTCAGTTATGAAATCACAACAATGGATGCTGCCCTTAAAGTAACTGCTTTGACAACAGTAAAAATATTTTTAGCTTAGAACCATGGTAAGAATAAAAAAGTCTGATTTTTACTCAAGGCACATACACACAAAAATTAAAACTGCTAACAGAGGATTTTGACTGAATACTTCTCATATGCTTAAGAGAGGAGTAGGATGGGATAAGTGACATTGGAAGTCAGAAAAAGGGAACTGTTATCAGAAATGGCAATTTAAATGCTCTTGTGTCTTGCGTAAATCTTCATATTTCTTAAGTTTCTAAAAAAAAATCTGGAAGTCAATTCTACAAATCTGCATCACTTCTAGAATATATAGAAGATAACACCTGAAATCATATTCTCCAGTGCATGAACTGTGATGAAGGTGCTGCTCTCCATTCCTGAATTAATATATCCAGGTCAAATTAATTAAAAAAATCTGTGCCAAAGTAACACCGCAACTTTCCACCTTTGAGGTAAACATATGGAGCACCTCAGTCACACTAAGAGAAAAAGACGTATTTTAAATGATGGAAGTAATCCAAACTGTAGTTGGACTTGCTCATCCCTAGAGGTTTTTCTGTCTTCAAAGATTCTGTACCTTGCATATTTTTCTAGTACAAAAGAGTCCAATATCTACAGATAGGTGGGACAAATTCAGGCCAAAATGCCTGGGCTGTAGGCTCAATGATCGGACATTAGGCCTCAATGACAGAAGACAAAAAAAGAAATAAAAATACAGAAATATAAAATAAAGAGTGAAAATAAAGAAAAAGGATAAAAAGGTACAAGAAAGAAAGGTATGCCCCTCTGAGCCATGGCTACTTCAGAGAAGCTATTATGCCACCATACAGGATACTATGTCCCCTGACTTAAAGGAGCATGCCGTCCCAAATTTCTGCTGGTAAATATGTTACATTTCAAGCATTTCTTTACAGTCAATGCTAAGCTGTATGACATTTCAAACTCTGAAGTTAACATTTACAATGCAAAAGAATTTTGAAGACTTGAGATGTTACACACCTACCTGATGCACCTGTTTTATCCTTATTCTCAACTGATGCATTTTTACTTTTCATAAAATCTTCAAGCTCATCATAATGTACAATACAAAGTCTTCTCTCAATCTGGTACAGCAAAGCAGGACACATGTATATAAACAATTCAGGAGATATTGGAGAGCTGGTTTCCAGACCATAGTATCGTAGCAGCTGAGTAACATTTAAGCACTGCAAGCAAATAGTACAAACAAATTAAATACAAAAGCAACTATTTCATTAAAAAAACTACAGTTACGGAAAATTTAGCACATGATTTGAGAACACAAACAGAAAGTAGAAACTCCAGCCCACAACATTCCTCCAGTGTTAAAACATGTCTAAGCTTATCTAAGTGGTTTATGAAGGCAAAGAAACAGTAAAAACATGTGCACAACAAACTCAAGTTTCCAAACACCTATATAATTTTTTATAAATGTCAATGAAAAAGAGTTTCCGTATCTTTTACTATTACACAGTACAAGTAATGAAGAAAGAGCAAAAGGAAAGGAGTGGAAGAACCTAAATCCAAAATAGTTTTTTTAACACTTCTCTTTACCAACCCACATAATGTGTTTGGAGTTTCACTTTTTATTCAGTTCAAAACATCAAACTCAGCACTCACTCCATCCTTTCCTATCCTAACTTCTAGTTTAAAACCATGACATCAAAATGCCCTCCTTCTGTAGTTAACTGTAGGGAAGGGAAAGTAACGTAATTATTTAAAAAAACTATTTCTGGCAGAAATAATGGATGTTGAAGGGAAAAATGGAAGAGCTTACACTGAACGCAGTGCTACAGAAGCTACACCTACACTGTTTCACAATTTCTTAGGAAATTCAAAGGAAGTTGAAAAGATGCAGGTGTTTCACAGGAATGAGTCTCTGTGCAGCTTCCAAAAATGTTAATGACCTTAGATTCAGAAACAAGTCCAAAAAAGGTATATGTGTGGGAAGTATTCATGAATATTGGGAAGGGAAAAAGCCCCACCTGTAAGCAGGGTATCTGAGGAAGCTTTGAGTATCTCCTTTATACAGATAAATAGGCAGGAGAGATCTCTGAGAAAAGATGGGTGATGGGCAGACAGCGATGAAAACCTATAAAGTAAACTCAAAACTGTGAGAGTGACCTTTAGCATTTTCACTCTGCAACCTGCATTATGCAACAGTTGCGAATTTGCTTCTGTGCTGTCTGTGGGTATGCACCTTAAGTTCTGTAACAGCAGTGAAAGTGAACTTACCAGTTCTCTGATTCAAACTCACCTCTTCACGATCACGTTCGTCTTCGTTATGATCCTTATGACTACGTGTTGAAAAAATAGCATGTTTTCTTACAGCATTCTGCTTATGAGGTGCCTCTCGCTTGCTGGTATGGTGGTGTCCATCCTCATTACCTACACTGGAATCCTGACGTCCATGACTAGTAGAGCGATCGCTACTGTGCTCGTGACGGTGTACATGCAAGTGAGATGCATCATGTACATGATCATGTTTATGAACACGATTGTGCTCATACTGATCACCTGGATCATGATCCGGGACATAATCCCGTGCAGCATCTCCTGAAGTCTCACTGATCTTCTTTTGCTTCTTCTTCTGTTTCCGTTGTTTTCTTTCTGGCTGATCCTGAGTTGTGTTTGTCTCTGTCGAAGGTTCGTGGTTCTGTTCTCCATGCTCACTATGACTAACTGAATCATTACGAGAATGATGTGTACCATTACGGTCATGATGATGTAGGCGAGGGTGGTGATGATGGTGATGGTGACTCTGGTCATGAATGTGTTTGCCATCATCTTTCCCTGACGGCACTACTGTGTCTCTCTCAGGGTCACATTTATGATTTCTCTTTGCAGCCATACCAATCATGGTTTGGTTTTCTGAATCCGAGTGGCTATGAGGATGGTTATGAGAGTAAGAATGCTTTCCTTCCTGTACTTCTAAAGCATATAAATGAGAAACATGATCATGGCCAATATCATCATGATTTATCATCACTACTTTTACCTCTCCTAAACCAAGGCTTATCAACAGTTTTTCCAGGCCAAAAAAGGATAATCTTCCATTTTCACCATATCGATCAAAAATCTTTTCAATGTAGTATTTTTGTTCATTTTCAGCTTCCAATGTTGAAAATTTACTCGGTGTAGATTCTGCTCCTCCATTCTGGAAGTAGGATTCATTTGAGATCTGATAGTCATTATGGTAGTGTACGCTGTCATGGTCCGCTTTAGGACCATGGTTATGTCCATCTCCATGGCAGTGATTGCACTGATGAAAGATAAATGTCAGCAAACAAATGATGCAAAATTTTGTGTGCATGTGTACCTTCATCTCCGTTTCCTACAAGAAACACAAGGGGAAGCACTCAGGTGTAAAAGCAATCTCAACATTTGTACTACATGAGTAGCAGTCTGGTACTCATTTGTACCAACAGCTCACAAATGTTTTTAGATATTGATGTTAACAGAATCACAATTGCAGTATTTTTACTGCAGAATTTGTATTAATGTTCTTTTCTTATCCAACAGCAAGATAGGCTCTGTGTATCTTAGAGGTGCAGTCTTACAGTAGGCAGTTACAAGAAAAAGATCAGCATTTACAGTCACAATGGAACATTTTTGTGTATATTTTCAGAGGCATCTATGCTTACAATAACCTATGATACTGAAAATCTTGTTAAAACACAAGTTACAAAAGAATAAAAATTACTTAAAAACAGTAATACTGTGTTTTCGTATTTATGGGGATGACAGGTATGTAATACAGTTGAAAACCCACACATCATCTGTTGTCTTAAGTGCTGCTAAAGCACCTCCACTAAACACACGCACTGCAGAATTCCTTATTTTGACTGGTAATTAGCGATTTAAAAATAAGTTGTCATTAACCAACTTTACTGTATTGCTTAAATGTTCGTATTTTCAGTACTTTTTACTTACATGAATTTACTGTTTTCAAAGATCTACATGAATGTTAATTAAAAAATAAGATATGCACGGAAAACATCAGTTTATGGAACTCAAAAAACACTGTTCATGCTGATGCACTAGCTCAAAGGAGACTACTGATTTTAGAAATTATATCATCTAGACAATGTGGTTTTCAATTTAGATTTAAATGTAAGTAACTTACTATTCAACATTGGGTAATGAAGAGGGTACTACAGCATTCTATCTTGTGTTCAGTGTTGAAAACAATTCACTATTTTATAAAATATGACAGCTTTACTTTGTTTACATCTGCTAGCAATAGTAAATATAAAACTGGAATAATTATTATAAGAGAAACTTTTAAGAACAAAAATCCAAGTTTATGTCAAAATTATGTTCTGTGCTTAAGCACTTGCAAAGTAGAGAGCTAAAAATAAGCCAAGATCTGTACTTTATGACTTCTATTTTCTAGAGCCTTACTTTACATGGAGAATAACCTCTAAAACGCATGTATATAAAAAAAATAATTTAAACACTGCCAGGGTTTTCTAGCAACACATTTGTTCTTGTTTGGTACAAAGCCAAATAAAATGTGGACTCTTTACAACAGTTCTGCTGGATACATGTAGTAAATAATCAAGCCCCCCAACAGCAAAGAGGCGGACAACAAAAAGAAAAAAGCACATAGCTTCCCTATAAATCTCAAGAGTTGAAAGACTAATTTGAACAGTTTAATGGAGTAGACTAAAATAGACAAAGGAACCAAGTACGGAAGTAGGGCTTTTACACATGAGTTAAATTTAGAATATGACTGAGAAGGAAAAGAAAGCTGAGAGAAAGGATAAGGACAGTGCTCCATCCACCTCACTTGCTGTATACTCAGATGCTACAAAAACACGGCAGCAGATGCAAGGAGACCAGGTCAAGTATGCTTTCATCTCATTTTACACTGAAAGCACTTCTAGTTCCTTATGCACACCTTGACTAGAGCAGTCACTGATCCTGCATTCAGAGATGCAAGTGACCTGGTTTATGCATCCTAAAATGCTACTGACATTTGAGAAGTTGTCCTTCTCAAACCCACCCCAGCTGCTAAGTAAGGCATGCTTCATGAAATCAGTTATGAAAGTGCTTTGCAGCAAACCACAGAGATTTAAGCCCATGTCTTGCACTTAAGCACCGGCAACCACGTTATTGCATTGAGAAAAAACCTCTTGGAAGCTCCTATGCTTGCAATAGGTTGACAGAGAAAAGGAATCAGAGGAAAAAAACAACAGGGCTACCTTTTAATGACTTTCTATAGCAAATAAATGAGGTAATACAGAAGACCGGGGGAAAAGTTTTTCCTGTTAACCTCTCCAAATACAGAAGATGAAAGTTCACTTTTCACTGGAGCTTCGAATGCTACATGCAATAATGACCCAGCTACAGATGTAAGACCAGAAGAGTACCCGTCAAACGGAGGGATCTGCATCAAACAGGGACATCAGACACATCAATAGGTAATGATAACACATTACTGGTTTATTTTTATAAACAACTGTTCAATCATCAGTCTGCAATGACCGCAGTTCATCTCCGGTTCCATCACTTACATTCCAGTTACTGATTTAAAGGCTGTGACAAAGCTTTTCAAGTAATTTAGTATGATGAGTTCATCCCCAAAATCTACTGAGGTATTATTTTCATATAGTTTTTTTCACTCATGGACTTTTATTTAAGGCATCCTTAATGTTCTTATAAATACATCATTGTGACTGTACGAAACATTAAAAGCATCTCAAAGCACCTTCAAAGTTCTGCTTTTATCCATTCTCCTTTGAGGAAACAGGTAAGTATAGAGTTGTTACTGGTGGAGTAGAAAGAAACAGGTTGCAGATCTTTATCCAAGAGTCACTGGACTGAGTCAACCTTCAGATTGTATGACTGCCTGGAAACCCATTCCATAACCTTTAAATAAATAACATATGCTCTTTCTCACACAGGCTGAGAACCTGGGCTCTGTGACTTACATCATCCCAGGCTGCAGAACCATTCAGGCAGTAAGCAAAGGTACTGAATCAGGAGAATGGTTGGTGACAGATCAACAGAGCTCCGTATTTCTATAGGAATATGCTGATTTTCATCAGCTGAGGATTTACAATGTTGAATGTTACTTAATGTGAAGAGCAGGTTCAGAATCTGGAATAAGCAGTTAAGGTACATGCAAGACAAATGAAAGCCCTGGGAGAAAGACGAATTTACATACGCTTGCATAGAAGACGGCAGCAGCAGGTAAGTACATGCAGTGTACAAGTACATGCAGTGTACTCTAATGCCTTTCAGTATCTTTTTAACTTCACTATCTCAATGCTGAAAACAGCATCTCAAGTTTAAGCAAAATCCAGTTACTCAAAGGATACTACTTCTGTAGGTAAGAAACCTCTTCTCTCCCTTGCCACATAATGGTAATATAACCAGAACAAGGAAAGTCAAATTATTCCAATTTAAACAAGCACAATCCAGACTAAAATATCTCTACCAGGAAATTCATGACTAAAGCATGATCATAATCCTTTTCACAACCTCATGATCTTTTTCATGTGACTGTCTCATACAATACTACTAATACATTACTTTGAAACTTCAGTCATGCATCCCTAATTGTAGTGTTTAGCTTTGAATGGTACCTTTTCTCCACACCCTGAAGGTTAAAATCACTTCTTAACTATGATCATGATTCATTGCTGAAATACAAGAGCTGAGCATTATTAGACCAATTTCAAAATCAATTCGATTTCTCACTATTTTCAATTAAAATAGTTAATAACCCTAGCACAGTATTTTTAATCTTCTATTTTATAATCTTCTGTATCTTCTACTGTAATTCTTGCCACAGAACAAAGATGCTTACCAAACTAACATATCCATCATATAAGGCCTCAAATAGAACAACTATTGAGAGTTCATTATTTATTTGTTTCTTTTTAAACAAACTTTATGATGTTATAGGCAATTATAAACAGCTGTCATCTTCAACCTGTCAGGCAGTATTTGTATGTGTAAAATACTGGAAAGCTGAAGTCCAAATTCTATTATTTCAGTGGCATGGAATTGTATATAGCTGATCTCAATACAAGAACATTAAAACTCTCTGATCCCTTCAAAAGAATGTGGAAGGGCAACCTGAGGACAAGGTTACAGCAAAGCTGAAAAAGATTCCAGTTATTACTGCTGTCAGCCTTTGCCTTATTTTATTCACTCATTCGGTTCCTTGCTGCCTCCCCTCCTACCTTCCATAGCTGAGTGATGGTCAGGCACCCAAAAATGAGAGAGACATGCAGGAAAACACCTCCTAGGTATATGCTGGGTAAGAAACCACAACACCTGTGGGCCAGAACTGGAAATAACAGCTCCTACTAAGTTTCCATGAGCTGCAAACAGGGACATTCTTTCAGGACACACTCAGGCAAAGTGCCTGAGTCAAACTGCAAAGTTAGAACAAACGTGTAAATTTACAGAGGATAAGATAAATAGTTCTGCCACACCAACTGACATTTCAGAAATGGCACACAGTGCTGTCAAACGTATCCCCTCCCCTCCTTATTCATCAATGCAAGCAAATCATTCATACTAAACACAGTACTGATTGCATGTCCATATACAAGGTTTTTAAACCAGAGGCTTGAGGTCAAAGTACCATCAGCAAAGGGTTACCTTTTCAGAATGGAAAACTCACAATATCTTTATGCTAAACTGCTGTCTGCCCATGGTGCGTCCTCTATTAAACTAAATGCACTTCTGATGAAAGCTGGTAATTTTTTACAGCCTCTTTCCTAAAACTTCTCCACAGTCCCTACTACTTCAACTCTTCTTCTCTTATGGCACATTATTTTTGAGAAGACTTCGTTTAAAGCCTGGAATATGATTTTGGGGGACATTTTAGTTTATTTATCATCACCTGCTTCACTGAAACTAGAAAACTAGTTCAACAGTTGGGCTTTACTTAAAACCACAAACTTTGACTCAAGTGGTGTGGTCATAAGAAATTCAAACTCAACTGAAAGTCACATCTTAGTGTTTGCAACCCACATACTACAGCATTTTTTGTTAGTGTACAATGCTGACTGTAGATTTTTCTAGAGTTTTCAATGCTAGATTATTGAATACTTTCTTCCCATACCCTTTTTCCTGTCTGCTCCCAACAATTTTAATAACCTGAAATATTTGTAACATGAATGCACTGCATTTCTCCCCTTCCAATGCTTCTTCCCATGTTATTTGTTTCTCTCTTTTTGTTCAGCTTTCTTTCCTTGCTCTCTCTGAAGAAAGTTCTGCCCTTTTTTCCTATCTGCAGAAAGGATCTTCAGAAAGTATCCTTGACTCCTCTAAGCTTGAATGCCACAATGACTGAAGTGCCTT